GCATGGCTAAACAAAATAAACAACACCGCAAATTAAGCTCCACTAGTCAGTCAAATATAGTAATAGATCTTTAACTTAAGTTATTTTACAATAAAGTTGAAAATCTATTGTCATCATTGCTAATGCCTATATCTAGTAACTCACCTCTAGTTGTTACGTGTGTTTACGCTCTTGCGTGATTTGTCACCGACTCATAACAAGTTAGTTTCAAATAAATAAGGCCTTCGTACAATATTCGTTTCATATAGAGATAGGTACCTACTTATTTTATTAGCCTTTAGGTAAATACCTAATCGTGTTCCATGGGCTAAACAAGAAAATAATATTCATCATGTCCATTACTCCATGACGTAGCATAATTAGGTCTTAACCCATAGAATGCCAAGCGGTCACCGGTGACCGCTCTCCACTACCTATATTATAGACCTTATTTCGAATGCTTAAAGACTACTTTTGTATGAACAAATTTAGGGGATGAATTTCAACGGGTTGTCCCTGTCTAGGCTATTATATTTGCTTGACGTTGTAGGTTGACTAATGTTTTTAGGATATTTTGTTTTTACCCAATTGTATCCCTAAACCAACTAGTTAAGCACATAAACACATTTTATTACTAGGTACATGGTTAGGCTAAATACCTTTTTTTTGAGGGGGGAAAATCATCCAATGACTTCTCCCACCCGGGTGAGGCGAGAGGGTTCAGACTCTTACTGACTAAAAACCACCCCGTTCCTACTCCTGCACTTCGAGCCGGAGCCCCAGCATAGGCTAAGTACCTAGAGGTCATCTAATGTCTAAAATTAGTACCTAAAACCAATATCAATATTAATAATTTATATTTATTTTTAGACTTGGGCGCATGATTTTAACATAGACAAGCTTTAGCTAGACAGTGTAGCTTTTCAAAGTCAAAGTCAAAGTTATTTCTTGCAAACATAAGTAATAAGTACATAATACAGGATGAAGTACCTATACATAATAATAGTGTGCTATGTTTCACTTGTCGGCATGTACTTACCAAATGTCAGATTCAATTTTATTAATGAGAGTAACAATAATAACTATACACATGATGACATTAATAATGTCAAACTGAGAACTCTATATACCTACACCATAATTATCAATCTACAGTCACCTTACATTTATGTCAATATTAATTCTCATATTCAATACTAAGTAGGTATATTATATTAAGTAGTTTTTTTTTAAGGGGGGAAAATCATCGTATGACTGCTCCCGCCTGGGTGAGGCGGGAGGGAGTGTCAGACTCTTACTGACTAAAAACCACCCTGTTCCTTCTCCTGCACGTCGAGCCGGAGCCCCGGTTATCCGTTAGGTTATCCGCGAGCCGTTAGGTTATCCGCGATAGTAGGTGTGCGTTAATTATTTGCTAGATGTATTTATCTTGTACTTAGGTACTTATCAACACTATAATAGGCCTTGTTTAGCATTATATATCTGTAATTTTGCGTTTAAATAAGTTTCTTGATCTCCAGTATGTGCTTTGGTAAGTGATTGTTAATTCGTGGTCCTATGCAGAATACACTGTTGTAGAACATCATTGTGCTTATGTATAGGACAATTGATTTCGTAAGTTTGACGCTTACTTTTAAAATTGTTTAACTAAAGCTCAAATTTATTATTTCCAATTGTAGATTTCATCATCATCTTTAATATTTTTTATCTATCTAACTTATATATCTATACTAATATTATAAAGAGGGATTAGTACCTATTTTTGTATGTTTGTAATGAATAGGCTCAAAAAGTACTGGGCCGATTTAAAAAAATATTTCCCAAAAGAATGCTACATTCTTCCAATTTGACGTAGGCTACACTTCATTTTGAAAAAAATTAGGGATCCTTGGTAAAATTTGAACAATGTAACCGAAGGTGTAGAAAAATGAGTCTTAAAATGTCTTTCGTCGAATGCGCTGCTGAAATTATTAGCGATAGAACAAAATAATGTACAACAATATTGAAGAAATCATAATGTCTACAAAAAACTCCACGGTAGCATATGTCCAACTATTGTAGTTATGTCACTACAACAATCCAAATTTCCAAAAATAAATAATTGTCTACCCCGTGCGAAGCCGGGACGGGCTGCTAGTTTATAATAAATCTGTAGAGAGATCAATTCTGTACATGAAATATATTAATTTCAAAAATAACTATCAGGGGGTGATTAGCGATCGATACTGATACCAAAAATACAATCAGTAATTTTGCCTGTCTGTCTGTATAACTGTTATAGAAATCAAAAACTACTTGACGAATTTTAACAAAACTTGGTATAATTATTTTTCATGTCCCTGAGCTGGTTATAGTAGGTATACTTTTAATTGCGCTACAGTCAATAGGAGAAGAGCAGTGAAGAGAAATGTTGGAAAAACTTTAGAAGTTACTCCATTTTTTAAGATTCCAACCTTAATGGTTAAAGCAACACAGAAAACAAGGATGACGAAAATGTTCTCCTGAAAATGATATATAAAAAGTGATATTTCTATCAACATCCTTACGCCCCAGCTATCGCGAGACATACTCTGGGCATCAGGAATCGCGAGACGATCTCCGGCCGCCGGAACCGTAAGCACGCGCCTGCGGACGGCGAGCATGGGTAACTCGTCGCCCGACTAGAACTAGACCCGAGCGTACGGCGCGTCACGTTCCGAGCGTACAGCGCGTCGCGTTGCGAACGCGCCTCAAGGAACCATCGGAGGTTTTTTGGTCATTATATATATTTTTTTTTTTTAAACGTTGCCCCACACTAGGATTTCTCCTGTGTCGTGGGTGCGTTTACAAACATTCAAATTCACATACACTTGACACCCAGACCCGGAACAACAATTTGTGGATCACACAAAGTGTTGTTCCGTGCGGGAATCGAACCCGCGACACGTTGCACGGCAGCCGGTTGCCCAGCCACCGTACCAACCGTGCAGTCAATATAAGTTTGTCGAATGTTAAGTTGCCCGCAGTGAACTTTACGGTGTAACTGTATGTAGGGCCGAAGCATGTTTGAAATTAGCTTCAACCGATATCGTAAATGCGAAAATATGTGAGTTTTAGTGATTGTGTGTAAGTTTGTTACTCAGTCACATCAAAACCCCTGAACGGACGGAGATGAAATTTGGACAGAGGTAGATTATGGTCTGGAGTAATACATAGGCTGGGGTGGCTGGCTGTTAGTATGTAATGTACGTAATGTCTTTGTCATTACCCTTTGGAAAATTACGGCGTACATAGAGCAACACGGACCACCGGCGGACCGGAGGGGAGTAGCCATACGCAGGCGTTCCCCTCTGTCAAAGTATAAGTCCAAATGGTCCTATGCGTACAATAAAACTAGTTGCAACTCAACTGCTCACCAGACTAAATCTAGTTGCGTTAGTGAATCGACGGCGTCGTAAAAATGCCGAATTGTTCTGTTTTTTGCTGCAAAAAGAGATCTGCCACGTCAAATTTACAAAAACATGGTGTTACCTTTCATATTAAGTAATTTTTAATCACATTATTGCTATTAACTTCTTATAAACTTAAAAAAACTACAGTATTATCAATCGTCTTGTTTCGGATTTGTTTACCAACAAATCCGTGCGTACTCATACAAAACGCGGATCGGTCGAGCGACAGATCCGAGTTTTTTTCCTAGAATTCGCTGTCGCCGTGCGATAGCGTTGTTGCCGGTTTGTTTGTAGATAGTTATCGATAAAAATGTAAAAGGTGAAGTCAAATGTGAGATTTTTTGGGATTAAGTTTTCTGATTTAAATAAAAAATACTGAGTGAGAACTTCAACTATATTTATTATTATTATTATTTTATTTATTTATTGCAGATTTCCTAAAGATTCAAATTTAAAAGATATATGTAAGACATTTTGTCATAACAGACCAACCTGGATTCCCACAAGAAATATTGCCATTTGCTCAAATCAAGATGTATTAGCAAGATTAATAATGCAAAAATATACTGATACAATAATTTCTAACTTATTGAAAAAAACAAACCCTCAAAAATGTATTCGTCATATCTAAAGAAAATTAATCTATTTTAAAAACCAGTAATAGTTCCGTATCAGTATTTCATCGCTGGTTCTTAAATGGGATTAGTAATTTAATTTATTTAAAAAAATGAAAATTTTATTTGTTATTATTATCTTGTCTGATTATTGTAGTAGTAGGTAGTTAGGGGTATAATAATTAATTAGGTAAAAAAATGGTATAATAATTAAAGTCAATAATAATATCTGTCTTTGAATAAATTTTTAAAGCTAATTTCCTTAACGGAGTTCTTGAATTTATCGATAATGCGTATCGATAATTGTTACAACTGCGGGTGTAAGTGTAGTTGCGTCATATTATTACACTATTACGACAGGGATTGTTTAAATGTGTGTGTGAAATTGTCAGTGTATTTTTCAATTGTCATAGTGTGAGTTTCGTAGTGACATAGAATGTTTTTGTGTGAGAATTTGAGAATGTGTGATTTCCCCCCGCAAAAAATGACAGACAGTTTTGTATCGGTTTATAACGCAATGGCTACTCCCCTCCGTGTTGCTCTATGACGGCGTATAACTTTTTCAGGCCAGAATTAAACAATTCTGCCACAGGATAACGTTACAAAATACAAACATGTACGTAAATTGTAAATATACATAACCCTTCCGTTGGCTTCGCCGTAAGCGGGTAAAAAAATGTCATACAGCCAAAAATAGAAATTTAATTATGCTTTTGATGGCAACACTGATTTATTATCTATGGCTTGGATTTGCGTCCGCTCTGCACGCACATGTGACGCAGGCAGGACAACTTCTCTCTTGACACTCTTGACAGTTTGACAGTTTCATTTTACAATTTACACAATTTATTTTGAATCTGCGCTTGTGTGCGATGTTATCACTTTATCTATAAGCTAGACATTTAAGTTTTTGTGAAGTGCATTGTGTTGAAATTTGCCATAAGGACGCAAACATATTCTCAGTCCATATGTAAACATGGACAATTCCGAAAATAAGAAAAGTAAAAAAAACCGCAAGGTACCTAACAAGACTTTAAGACAAACATCATCAGAACAGAAAGAAAACGTTCCCAAAAATGTAAAAGGTACAGTTAGTAAAAGTGAACCAGAAGGTGGAATTGCTAAATCTAAACTGTTGTTAATGAAGAAGAATAAAACCCGTGCAAGAAGGCAACGGATTTGCCCCAATGGTAAGCCTTTACCTTCCTTATCTCAACTGAAGAAATTCTATGAAGATGATGATGATAATGATACTGATAATCGAAATAGTAATACGACAAATCCAAAACAAAATTCATGTACATCCCCTACACCAGATAAGCTTTTATCAAATTGTGACAACAAAACAATCCAAATATCCCCTTCAACCATAAAAAGAATATCTGAGAAAATGGAAAAATTAATAGACAATATCTCTGATCCCTGTCAACTGCTTGAAGATTACCCTATTTTATTACCCTTGGAACCAATAGATTCACCACCGCCACCCGCTATAATACCACCAAAAAAGAGAAAGAAACCTGAAGTTCCATATATTGTTGGTTGCAAAGAACGCCCGCAAGTACCAAGTAGAGCAAGCACAAATTTTTGTAAAGGTGATAAAGATTATGGTATATCTTCTTCAGGTGCTGATCCAGAAGAAGAGGAACCAAAAAAGAAGAAAGCTAAAAAGTCAAGTATTAAAAGTTACTCAAAATCCACTTTCAATGCTCTCAGTGATGAAATTTCAAAAAAGCTGACTGAGAATGAATCGGGTAATGTTAGTGATTGTAGTTCCGATAGTAATAAAACAATAGAATATGATGTAACACCATATACACCTTATCAACCTCTGAAACCTCGGCCATTTTCACCACTTCCAAGTACTTCTAGAGACAGAGAAACTTTTATAAAAAATGATGAGTTATTTAATGAAAGTTTAAAGGGAATTGATGCAATAGAACAATCACCCCCCCTAACAGAAAAAGCCACTGAAAATAGCAATGTAAAACTAGAGAAAATTACAACAGCACAAGAATCTTCTCAAAATGAAGTAGAAATTATAGATATACCATATGACACTATTGTAATTGATGAAAATAGTGATACATTTTCACAAAATAAGATTAAAAACGAAGTTGAAAACTCTGACTTAATTCAAATACTAGAGCCAGAGGCTATCAAAGTTCCCAAAGATGAACAAATAATGAGTAATTTGACCAATGATGAAGATTGTATAATTATTACAAATGAAACTGTAAATGAGGATTCAAGAGAAACTATAATTATTGAAGATGAATACAGTTGTATCAACGAACCATATCCACTTAATGATGATGAACCATATGATGTTATAAATATAGATGATATACTAAACGAAAATAAATCTATACTTAGTAAATGGAAAAATAAAACAACAGAATTAAACCAAATAACTACAGTAATTGAAGTTCCAGACGATTATAGTAATACTAGAATGTCATCGACAACTACTGTCACTGATTCCACAAATAATAATCAATCAAATTCACACACTAATCAAAATGAAAGTGTTGTCATAGTAGACTCCCAGAGTCCTCAAACAGTAACTGAAGACAGTCAAATTCAACCAACAGTGCTGCAACAGAATGAGCAAACTAATCAAACATCAGAACCAGTTGAAATTATTCAAGAAGTTTCACAACCACAGGGATCCGTATTTAAAAATATACTTGAAGACTTTTTTAAACAACGAACGCGAAAAGGAAGGCCTAATAACACTCAACAATTGGAAAGGATATTTGAATCATTTATAAATACAGCACCAAGTACTAATAACAGCAATCAAATAGGAACAGTAAATAATGTTGATAGTCATACAGTAACCAACAATTTACGAATTCAAGAAAGCAGGCAAAGGGCTTGTGAAGCCGTGAGCACTTCACCTCACCAAACCACCAGCACCCCTCGACAACCATCACCAGAACCAAAAAGAAGTTTAGGAGATTGTCCTATTTGTTTGGACTCGCTCACCTCTAATGGAATTGCTTCCACGTTATGTGGTCATGTTTTCTGTGTGGATTGTATAAAAACAGCTATTAGACAAAATGGAAAAAAATGTCCTACTTGTCGGAAAGCTCTGAAAGGTCCAAATGGAGGATACCATCTATTGTATTTATAAATATGTGTATATTTTTTTGTTCTACAAATCTTATTTCAGATAGTACCTAACCAAATATAGATGGTGTAAGGTTGTCAAGCTTAGACTTATCTTACTAGTCACATAATATTAATTAATAGTGCCATCAACATTTACAGATATAGGTGATACAAAACTTTGGTATAATATTGTTGCAAACTTGTGAAGTTTTAAAATTGTAAATATAGAGTGTGATGAGTAGGTATGTCACTCATATATGTGTATGAATGTAAGCTTTTTAGTTATAATTCAAATGTTCTATTCCACATAAATTGCATTTATTACCAAATGATAGCAAGGTCACATGATCGCCAAGAGATTTGTGACACATAATCTACAAGTGCCTGCATTATAAGTACCTGGTTAGTGATATTTGAAATAATACATATTTTTTGAAACCTGATCACCCCTGTGAACGTTTTTATTATTGGTTGGGGCCACCTGCTTTTCACTCATAAAAACGTATGAATGGCTTCAAATCATCTACAATAGCATGTTGAACATGCTAATTAGTATTTTTCTTTGATTATTGATTTAATTATTGTAAAAGAGGGATTATTAATGTGAAAAATATTATAAAGAAACAGTATTTACAATTAAAAGAATGCTTGTGGTGTTTATCCTCTTTGATTAGCATTACCTCATTAATCATTAAGTTTCACTTAATGAATACAATAATATTAAAGACAAAGGCTTTATAAATAGAATTTATCAAAGTACCTACCTGCTCTGTAAACTTAACAATTAGTGCCTGTAAAAAAATCGTATAAAGCAACAGATTCCTTCTAAATATAAAGAGTTATTATGTCAATCACTCTTTATGAAATGTAATTTATATAATGATAATATTGTTAAAAAATGCGTATGTTTATGTAGGTATTTTAAGTTTTTATTATGTCATTATATTATAATATTTTGATTTAAATAATATTCCTGAACAAGATAATGCTAAAATGTTAATATCATTTTATATCTTTTCTATGATCTAATATTTTTTTATATTGATTGAAACATTTATCCAATATTATTCTACAAATTAAAAATGTGATATGTATGTAAATTCCTTTTATTTTTATTATTTACAGTTTCTTTGACCATTTTTCATGCCTAAACTGGTAACCTCAACACTTAGCTACTATATTAGGAGTTTCGTTACCTATAAAAAAGTGTCTATCTATTCATTAAATATCTATATAAATAAAAATGTATTTCCGTTCGTTAGTCTTGCTAAAACTAGAGAAATTCTGAACCGATTTGGCTAATTTTGGTCTTGGAATGTTCTTGGAAGTCCGAGGAAGGTTTAAAAAGGTGGGAAAATAAATTTTTGAGGCGGTATGAAGTTTGCCGAGTCATCTAGACTTTCAATAAAATTAAAATAGGCAGTAATAGAGAAAGAATTTATTTTAAATAGGAAAATCTGTTTGCTCATGTTAATCTCTGAAATTAATAGACAGATTTTAATGAAACTTTATTGTATAGCCTATAAGCCTGGGCAATCCTCTAGCTCATAAGTAGCTATAAAAAAACATTAAAACAAATCATTTTTGCCATTATGATAAACTATAAAGTTGAAATAAAATAATAAATTACCATTTATATACCTCTTTATTTAAATACATAACTATTATTTCTTTATAAGAATGAAAGGTGATCTAAAAATCATTCAGATCAAATATTGCTAAACCTAACACCCAATTTGGATTAATGAAATGAAATAAAAACGATACATTTTGACATTCTGTATAAAGATTACATCCCAAACAAATTCATTAACAGCAACTCATGAGCGTCAAAAAAATTGATGACCTTCACATCAAGGATACTATACATATGCAGATTGCAGGCCTTCTAGACCACTTAGTAAACATTTCAAAATATTCAAAGATTATTTGATAACATAGAAGTATCTGAAGATACATAATTAATATACAGTACAATATAAAAATAATATATATAATTACATTATTGACTTAAATTTATAGAGATTATACTAAGGTCCAAAATAAGCTATAGGTACAAAGTTTTCATGTTGGCTTCTCAGTGCCATTAACATCAGAATGTAAGTGTTCAATAGATGCAGACAGTTGTTCAAGACTCTGAACTAGCTGAGCCATTTTATCCCGAGATGCAGAGTTTTCAAAACTATCCTCAGTAGGCTTCTCAACATCAGCACATAAACGAAAATGTAAACGTGCCAAGTGCTCCTGTTGATCTCTTATATTTATCATTTGTTCCATACTACAACCTGTACCAAATGCACTTAGCTTACCAGTGTGGAAGTCGTCTAACAATTCTAACAGAGCCTTTTCCATATTTTTGACATCTGGTGTTTCTTTTGGAATAATCTTTGGTTTGTTAGTGGATCGCATTAAGTTATTGTCTCGATTTATTCGATTTTGTTTCTCACTGACGTATGATATCTTTGTCGATTCATTTACACTACTGTTGCCTACACCAGACACAGTCTGGCCCAGATTCTTTGATGTCAGACTGGCAGCGCCACTCGATAATTTATTGCTTGTAACAGGTGATGTTGCCGCATGGTGCACTTTCTGCTCATCTTCTTCAACCTCATTCTGCATAAGTTGTTGTGTTTCGTTGGCTTCTTCCAAATGCAAGCTCATGTAGACTTTTGAAGGCGTATTATGCAGTTTAGTATTACGAATAAAGAGCCAACCGCTTTGTATAGTCTATGCAACCGCTACTGCTTTGGTTTGCACAGTTACTTTAGTTTGTATTTCAATTTTATTTGTAAATACTTAATACGAAACCACAAGCAACTATTTAAATTTATTATCAACAATGACAAATTCGACTCAAATTTCTCGTGTTTTGACTTTTTGACGTTTGGATTTGGAGTTTGACATCAATGACAAGAACACATAACAGGGTTGACAGCACCATGGACAAAACTTCTTTCGGATTTTTCATAACCACTATGCCTAGTGCACTGATAATGATAAATAAAAGTATAGATTAGAAATACCTACGAAAAAACTAACTTTACTTGTTACTCTGTAATGGCGGATAGAACTAGGGATGTGACTTTTGAATCAGTGGTTTTGAATGACTTATCGATAAAATATCATTACTTTACGATTCATCTGGATTTGATTTTTATCTAGCTACTAAACATTACCAAAATATAAGCGAAATTTATTTAGTAGTTATTGCGTGCACTATCGTTCCGGTCGATCGTGTCCATACTTTCACATCATAACTTTCACTCAACATAAATTATGTGCCGTAATTTATGGAAAGGATTTTCCATCAACTGGTCAACATTTACATACTTAAGGTTAAGTAATTTTTGAAGGGTAAAAAATAAAACTGTTTCAAAGAATTCATAAAATCAAGATGTATAAAATACAATATCTTCGTATTGTTTCCCTGTAATGTAATCTGCATAATCATCTTTCGAGAAGACTCCAGAACTATTTCCAAGTTCATTTTCATGCACAGGTCTAGCTAGAGGCAGCAACATAAATAGCACAGAGCATGTAATTATAATAAATAGTTTAATTTAACTTACTTGATCCAATGAACATAGATTTCTCTATAGATTCTATAGGTACTGTACTAAGCTCTGTGTGTGTGTTTGTACGTTATATATTTATGTTACAGTGGCTCATACATAGCTATATACAAAAATGTGTTGGAAAATACTCGAATAAAACTGATAGACACTCAGTTTTTATTCTACATTTATCTAATTTGAGTTGGCCGAAAAATTACCCATTCAAGCATAACGAATCTTAAAAGACTGGGTTGCAAGTTCTTGTTTAAAACTGTACATAAAAACTAAACAAATGTGTCAATGACTTGATTTGTCAATTTCAACACACAGGGGAAGAGACAGGTATTTTTAACAATTTTATAATTTTGTCAGTTTTCCTTGCTTTAGAGGTCTTTGGCATTATTAATTATACAAAATCAATTAATGTATTTGTAATATTTTATATCTTGTTCCGTAATTAAATGTTGTTATTGCGCTCCAGTATAGATTCAACCTCCATTGTCCATTTTTTCTAGCCACATCCTCAATTTATTGTGGCACATGTTTCGCTCGAATACCGACAAAAAATTAATAGTTTCAACATTCAGTGCATTTACCTTTAGTCACTGTATCTTTCTCAGGTTTCGACTGCGAGTTAGCTTCGGTACATTCCGATTAATATCGGGACGCTGATACGACATTGTATTTTGCATAGTACGTGCAATATTTTGGATTTTGAAAAATTACTTCTTTTGATAAAGTGTTAATCGATACAAGTGATAATGGGTGAACCGACCCTTGAGCCAGAGTTAACTAACCGGCTAACCCGATTCCTCCACACGGGTAATGAGTTTCCTAGGTACTATCCTGGGTGCTGGACCACTCATAAGTACTTCGAGGAGGACAAGCTCCCTGTTCTCCCGCAGATTGCTGAAATACACCCCGGGAACACTGAAGCTGTTGACATCATCCTTAAGGTACTTAATTTTTAATATTATAATTACAGAGAAGGTAATTTTGTAATGTTTGTGTTAGTGTGCAAATTTAACAATGTTAATTTTAATGACAGTTCAAACAATAGTTCATAACCATACTATTTTTGCAAGGTATGTTTAGTGTTGATTTATAGTTACTTTGAATCTTTTTTACTTGGGAACAATTACAGTTACTGTAACAGGGTAAAAGAAAATCTAAAGAGTATTTTTTGCTGGGACATGGAAAAAAAATCTATTGTTAGAACACAATGTGGTATTTTTCTTTGGGGGTGTGTGGTATTTATTTAATAACTAGTGACCCGCCTCGGCATCACATGCAATATGCATGTATTATACATGTAAACCTCCCTTAGCATCACACTATCTATTAAAAGAAACCGCATCAAAATCTGTTGCATAGTTTTATAGATCTAAGCGTACACAGACAGATGGCGATGGCGGATAGCGACTTTGTTTTATACTATGTAGTAATTAAAAATAAAACTACTGATTTAGTAATTTTATACTGAGAATTTTAATTTCATCCATTTTTTATTGTTGTGTCAAACTTTTATTTACATAGAGAGGAGTGGAAGGAGGGTACGGAGGCCTTTGCCCTACAGTGGGACGAACATGGCTGAAAATAAATAAATGTCAAACTTTCTCTTAAATAATACTTAAACAAGTTTTGTTGTCAAGCACAAGGGGATACCATTAAATTAGTTTATTTAATTTGCTTACTTTGTTGTACCACCTTTATTAATAAATCGGGAAGTCTATTATGTACCATGACAATAGCTAGGATACAAGTTTTAAATCATGAAACTTTACAAATACCTTCATTATAAAAGAAAAATTTAACTATCTTCTGTCAATCAGGCTAAGAACATCAACAAATATTTTATTTATATGATCAGAGTTGGTCTGGATTTTATGCATTATTTATGAGTTTTACAGTACATTACTTGAGAGGCTAACAAATTTATTGCTTTTAGGCAAGCCAGGATGGATTATACACTCGATTTGATGCCATCGCATTTGCACTGGCTAAATGTCTGCAAATAGGAAACAATACCATGAAAGAAGCTGCCTACAAAGCTGCAATAAAAATATGTGTCACTCCAGAACAAATGATGCTCTTCACCAAGTTCACCCGGCTGTTGAAAACTGGTAAGATGGTTACTGTTATTATTAAATTATATTTTAGTAATTATAACTCATAGTGTTACTTAAATTCTTTATTACATTTTGCCCAATCTGAGTTATTTGAAGTATTAAAATCTGTTATTCTCTTTTTTAACGAGCAGACGGATTACCTTATGGTAAGTAATCGGCGTCGCCCATGAATACCCGAAACACCAGGGGTATTAAAAGCGCGTTACCTTTTGGTTTTTTACCGTTAGCCTTTTGGGGATTACGAATTTGAGTATTGTTGGGGATTCAGAGATTGGGGAAGAGAAGGGGTAATTGGGTCTCCGATAACCTCGCTCACATGACGAAACATAACGCAAACGTTGTTTCACGTCGGTTTTCTGTAAGGCCGTGGTTAAAATGGCTGTTAAAATCCACATAAAACTGTAATGTCTTATACATGTTGCAAGTAATCATAGTTTTGTATGTGTAGAGTTTGTCATAAACTGCAGCATGGGATAGATAAATAAGGATAGATAGATAGATAAGGGATAAATGTGTTATTCCAATTACTCTATCCCTGTTGATCTTTAAAATTTCACCCTGATCCCTTTAGTCGTTTTGACGAGATCGTGTAACAAACGAACACACGAACTTTTATGTTTATAATATTACTAGCTTCTGCCCGCGACTTCGTACGCGTAATCCCATTTTTCCCGTCCCCGTTCGTGATTTTCGGTAAAAAGTAAAAAAAAAGTATTGGTTAAAAAGTATCCTATGTCGGTCTCCTGGCTCAAAGCTACCTCCCTACCAATTTTCAGCCAAATCTATTCTGCCGTTCTTAAGTTATAAGTGTTGTAACTAACACGACTTTCTTTTATATATATAGATTAAGATTTGTCTAATTATAATGTTATGTCCAAAGGTAATGGCCGTGGGTGGTGCCGGACTGTCAAGGAGTGGTACAGTCGTAAAGATCCGATGGATCTCGCAAAGGATGTAACGAGAGTCCGCGCACGCCACGGACGATCTCACAAGACTCTCCTAAGAAAATGTCATCTCAAGGTTGCGGCTGAAGATCATGGTAAGATATGGTGGCCATAAGTGTGCCTGCTGAGTAAGGGATCTTTGGTTGATTCCTGAGAAGGACAACATATGTTTTTATTTCGAGAATTTCTTGCAAGTAACACTTGAAAGTTGGCGCTTTTAATAAGCAACTGATTTAGTTTTTTTTATATATTTTTCTGATGACGATTGACGATTGTAATTTACCCTATAACCTAGTGCCGTTTAAACGTCGACACCCTGTATATTCACTTGATAGAAATCCCCAAAATTTGTTCATACAAAAGTAATCTCTAAAAATTGGAAATATGGTCTATAATTGAGTTAGTGGAGATTGATAAGATATTATGTTCCCCAGGGTAATAAAGAAAGAACTAGCGTTTGACCTTGACCTTGACCTTGGTACAGTCGTGCACGTGTGCCGTTACGAATTATACCTAGCATTGAATAAAGTTAACCCTTTTATATTTAAGATTCCATTATTAAGACTGCCGTCGCCCTGTTTATTTGTCATTAGGGTGTATCTCTTGAATTGTATTTGTAGTAGAAATTTTCACAAAGGATGTTTTTTGCTAATATAACAACACAACGAGAATAAAATAAGTATTAAATGGGAGCACAATGAACAAATTTTTTTTACATAATAGAACAGAACCCTTCGTTTGCTCGTCCATCACGCAATTGACTGTGATAATAAAATATAGAGCCCTGCTAAAATATAGTAACAACACCTAATTGATTTTGAAAGTCAATAAATAATATCGTATGTTTGTAAAATGACTATACTTCTTTGTTTTTAGCTCGTGATGCAGTTGTGAAGTACTCTATCTATGGTCTCAAGCACGCGAAACAATTAATCGGAGACAAACCGGCGACAAAAGAAATCTTTGATTACATCCAGACTGTAGAGGACATGAGGCACTGCGAGGATCCCGTCGCAGCCGCGGCGATAGCCACTCAGAACCAATTCACACTTGATCATGTGCCTGGTCATTTGTTGACTTCCCAGGAGGTATGCAGTATTTTACAGTAACATGTTGTTTCGACTTAACCGACTTCGAATTCTGCGCATTGACACTAGACCCACAAACAGAAATTTTATCAATCTAATCTAATTAAAGGCAATTAAATCACTACAATCTAGCTATACTTATTCAAGCATTCGCTAAACTAATTGAATGTCGACCTCATCATTCGCTTGAAAAATTGACGTGTAAAAATGCTGCTTTGTAGCCTATTTGCATATAAGTTCACTTGTCTCACCATTGTGATAGGTTTGGGATGCAGTGCTGCCTCAATTCAGCTTGGAGGAATTACTCCAGAACATCCAACGCATCCACAACATGGGCTTCTTGTCTAGCGAGTCCACCACCACCTCGATCCTAGTGTCTCTACTGAGCAACCAGGACAAGATCAAGAAGTCCAAGGTTACATCACTGGAAGTTTATATCACGATGGCTAATTATGCTAAAAAATCGAAGTAAGTTCAAACTTTATAAGAAGAAATTGTTTTACACACGGCTGCACATCTAGTTGTGCAAATCCAGTATAAAATGATCATTGAATGTGCAGAAAAATTATACAAAGTGAGATCATGATAAACTGGTCTTGTATAGCTAGTGTACCTACTTGGTTTTCAATCAAGTTTATCTTTTATGACAAAGGACGAGTTATAATACGCCATTATATTCCTGTTACTATCAATGTAGTCACACCTTTTGTGGAATGATTTAAAAGGTTCATTTCATGTTCAATATTTATTGAATTTTATTGTTAAGTACTATTTTTAAATAGAGAATAATTTATTTCACACAACGATACAAGAGAATTATTTTGTTTGAGCCACATTTTGGATTTATTATATTCCTACGTTAATATTTGTTGTTTCAAGTTAATATTTTCTTCAAAAAAAGTAAATTTATATTTTGTACCTTTTTATTACAATCAGGCCTATGAAATACGAGAAAGCAAAGGTGGCATTGGAAAGGGAAGCTAGACGCCGCACACGTCAGATCTTTGACAGCAAGACGGAGACGTGGGAGTGGACCACTACGAAGCGACACCCGAGAGAGATCAAAAATTGGGGTGAGGGCAAAAGCAGTATCCACAATAATATAACTAATTAGAACAGAAAACAACACATAAATGGTATATAAGCTTCAGGCTCAGATCCCTGTACTTACTGGTGAAACATCTATAAATGCTATACATTTAAAACAACTATACAGAACTTGTAAAACTTTCACAACTAAATAGCTATGCAATTTGAATCCTAATGAAGGTTTTAGGTGTAATTTAGTATAGTATTTACAACATAAGACACCAGTGTCCACTATGTCATCAGAAAACTAAAAATTTTACATTGCACAGGTATCGACCAACCACCAAATCCCGCAGTGTTGACAGCTCTCAACAAACTGGTCGACCTCACCTGGGTACTGACCCCGCCTACTAACGCTCGATATCTCATAACAATGGACATGAGACACCACATGTTCAAAGGTATGTATTGTTTTGTGTTTGCCTTAATATTTGTTTTCACTCCTTCAATGTTTTCTTTTTATTATTTTTGCCCAAGTTAATTTTAAAATACTTTATAAAGTTATAAAGGTTACCTTTATAAATTACTAGCTTATACCCGCGGCTTAGCTCGCGTCACAAAAGGAAAAAGCCAATGTGACATATACACACTATACACACAGCGCCATCTATACCAATACTTTTGTTTTCCCTCGGGAATATCAAATTTTTCCGGGACTTTTTAAAGTACCCTATTATTTAATCCGGACTTCTAACTTTACGTCTGCAAAATTTCAAAGCAATCGGTTTAGAAGTTACGGCGTGAAAGTGGAACAAACAAACAAACTCACTTTCCGATTTATAATATTAGTAAGGATACATTAACGCGAAAATGTATCCTAAAATCAATGAAGTCAAATAATGTAATGATTAAAAATCTTTGCACAGGTCGTCACTTCTGCAAGACGTTCACAGCCACAGCGAAGAAAGGTAAGAAGGCAGCCGCGAAGCCAGCGCCAGCGACCGGCGGCGGCGACGCTGATACTGAGAAGAAGAGCAAGAAGCATCTGCTGGCAGAATGCTTCTACAACATGAATGTTACTCCTGGGCATGCAGGTACGTACACAATAGGTATAACATAACCAGCTTAATAACCTAATACATCAACCTACATAAGAAATATACTTGTACTAGTACTAAGTGAAAGGAGAAGCAATTCAATATTTAAAATATTTTTTAATTTCTTAGCTATTGTCCTGGCCCTGCAACTATTGAAGCGCGAGAACCACGTTGATTTGGCCGTTTTTACTGAAGAAGGAATACAGATAATCAGTGTTGAACGCAATTTTAGCAACATCGAAGAGGCTGAGTTCTTGTTCAGAGTAAGTTTATCTTCTCTCCGATATAATAAAATATTAATATGTTGTTAAATCCCAATTATTTATATACTTATTGTAAATTAATTCGTCTTTATGAATTAGACGCTACTTATAACTAAAGTGTACTTATTAGATTAGGTCTGTTAGAGTCATGTCATGTCTTGCCCTGAAGTAGAAAATCTATTAAAACATCAGAAAATTTGGCAAAAAATAATAATTCAAGTCCCAAACAACCTGCGCTCGGTACAACTAACATAACATAACATCACGCCTTTTATCCCCGAAGGGGTAGGCAGAGGTGCACATTATACCACTGTACAATGTAACACCCACTTTTCACTATTTATGTTATGAGTCCCATGTAATAGGGGGCGAGCCTATTGCCATATACCGGGCACAATTCCAGACTCCGTGCTACTACTGAGAATTTTTTTAAAAAACCCAGTAATACTTTGCCCGACCCGGGAATCGAACCCGAGACCCCTTGCCCGGCAGTCGCACTTTCGACCACTCGGACAACGAGGCAGTCATAGTCGGTACAACTACTTTTGTCTAATTGATACCATTTTTTACAGAATGCGAACTTAGGACGTGTGCAGTTAGATGCACCAATAAACTATGCTATAAATAACCATAAAAAATACGACGTGTTTATCAACATGGTGGATCGCACTACGCGCTACATGGAACTGGACATTATCCACCGCGGGGGTCGTGGCCCGGGTGGTCGCTACGGACCCCCGCCGGCCGCCATCAAAGAAATACCCGACCACTGCCCCGTACGAGCTTTGCAACGATACCGTAGCTCTGAGGGCATTTCCGAAGCTAAGTACGTCACACATTTCATTGTAAATAATAAGTTGTTTGTCTCTATGTAGAAAAGTATGAATAAGTTGTTTGTGTAATCATTCATTGAAAGTACAAAACAACACATAAGCTCCTGTGTTGAGGCTGTTAAAAAGAACAAAAGTTGCAGATCATACATAATTATATAATATATAAGTTTCTTGTGAGACATTCAAAGATTTGTTGTATATGTCGTAGGATAATTTGATAATTCGAATCTTCGCGGAAATCCTAGGGGTTTTGCGAAAACGCGGATAATTAGACATAGGCGAAAAATTATCAAATCTTACTGGACAAAGTCAGGATTTTTGCGAAAATACTCGTTACTATAGTAAGATTGCAAAACGAAACGCTGGCTGTTATGAAATAAGAACGCTGATTGGTCGGTCAGCGCGTTCAATAAGAGATCGTCTCTGATTGGTTGACGTCTTAAATGTTTTTTCGTCGTCTTAAACGACCAGTTTCATCTCATTTATGGATTACACCCTAAAATTGGATCATTTTTTTTTTACTACGACTGAGATCTCCTATTGTCTGTAGAAAACAACATACATACTAAAATTTTCAATAAAAAGTTTATAAAAATCAATTTAGTGATTTTCCTTTCTCACCTATTCTAAACCTTCATAACTCTGATACAATACTTGAAGTTAATCATCGGCAAACTAGGAACCAATTAGAAGTCAGCCAGCAAAATTGTAGCCAATCAGTGTTGAGCACATCAAATCTTACTATAGTAACGAGTATTTTCACAAAAATCCTGACTTTGTCCAGTAAGATTTCATAATTTTTCGCCTATGTCTAATTATCCGCGTTTTCGCAAAACCCCTAGGATTTCCGCGAAGATTCGAATTATCAAATTATCCTACGACATATACACAAGTATATATTATTGAAATTTATATAATAATATTCTCTGTTACAGGTTGGTGGTGATGAGCTTGGCTTCTCACAAAGTGTGTACTACGGATGGTACCCACGAGGGAGTTCTGGACATTGTTGGTATCGACGAGTATGTTCCCAAAATCCTTGACGCTTTCGTACTCGGCCAGTTCAAGTGATTGCTGCTAAAAATAAACCCAAAACAAATGCTTCGAAGTTTGTCAATTTCAAGGTCTCAATCTATAACGACCAAAACCTCAGTATTTACAATTAAATTGTGTCCATCAAAAATCATTACCACCTTGTGTTCCGAGGCTGATACAATTGATAAACGGAACTGATATTTCTAATAGAAATCTGAATGTAATTCTGATTGTTTAGAGATCTTTTTTACTATATTTGCATGTTTTTTAGTGTTAATTTTGTTTTATTCGCTTACAAGGTAGTTATGAGACAGTTTCGTATAAAATAACTGTTTCTTTTAACCCTGATTTGGATCTCTGCTTATGAATTATAATTGGTAGGCGCACTCGAATTAGTTTTAAGTTACAACACGAGTGTACACTCAGTACATATTAATTGGCGCACAGCTACAGATATATCGTATTACCAGGGAACAGTTAAATTAATGTTAACCGTGGTATGATATCGACGTTATTGCTTTAGAGTTTAGCTTATAAGTTTACTTATTGACACGTGTGTTGCTTGTTAGCGTAGACTAAATTAATTAATTTAATGTTTACTAAATGCGACTTGGCATCCGCCAAACTACGGGAGCGAGTTTAATGCTTAACGTTATATTTAGACCAGGTTATTCATTCTGCATAATATAAGTATTTTTGAGAAATTGTCCTCTAAACTTTGTTTGGTAGCAGAACAAATTGTTTTTCTGAACTTTTATATGTTCATTATTTATTTATTCTTCCCTTTTATATGATAACGAAGTGTGTTACTTTAGATATAGATAAGCTTAATACGTATAGCCTAAATATTCGTAACAGGGTCTTTTTGGTTAAACAAAAATTGGCACCTGGCGCTCATTAATCAGTTATGTGTTCAATAAACAATAACTTGCGAAGGGGCAAATATTGACAAAAAGGGGAAATGTCTTTTATTTAAAATCTATAAAAGAGTGTATTTCACACAGCTGTCGTACTGCACCTCCCGTAAATAAATGTTTAAACGCCAGTACTTTTGTAGTAGTTGTTGAGTTTCAAATTTTTATTTATTTCTGTTTTGTAGGCCATTGACAGGTCACTAGTGAGGTTGTATGTAACGTTTTGTATTTGCCAAAGTAATTATGCATTTGTAATTTTATTCAAAGAGTACTGGCCCGCAAACGTGAATTAGCATAGAAATTAATTATTATAGCATATCTTGATAATATAGTATAATGAAATCAGGAGTGTGCTCGTGTATTTATTTTGTGGAATGTGTCTCATTAACATTTGTTGTGATACAATGAGTCACTCGCGTCCTAAGAGAAATAATCAAATAAACAGACGGGCACGCATCTGCTTTCATGTTATGTAGCTAATAGGTGAAACCGTTTCAGAATATTGGTTACTTTTGTACTAATAGATATGAGCGGACTTTTCAAAATCTGTGATCACTTGGTACTCTCTCGGGTTTAAGTAATTTTTATACCTGTAAAAGTTAATAAATTCAAAACTTAGATAAAGGAACTCGAAATTGCTAGATATGCTTTTTTATTATACGTATCACTATATTGTTGAGTAATATACAATGTAAGAATAAACTTAGTATTATGGTGGTCGAGAATCATTTTACTTTATGCTTTTATTGTGATTGATATCACATTAACCTTTGTTGTAGTTATCATAAAGTTTATTTTTGGACCATCACAGGTACATATTTATTATTTTGTGATTCGACACATCTGTTTCCAGTGTATGGTTCGCATCTCAAAAATAGCATTCTGTGATTTATAATGCCTTGGCAACTCTGCACTTTGGTGATATTATTTTTAATCGGACTCGTTTTCTTTGAAATCCAAAATGAAGTTGTTAAATTTGAAGAAAACAGCCGGTTCTAGTTTTAATAATAGCTTTATAGTATTATGACTACAAACCATAACTTTACTTTGTTGTTAACTGAAAGCAAGTACACGAGTACTTTATGTTTGAATCACGTGCATATTATACGAAGCCTAGTGCATTCTAAGACTCGCTGACAAATAAAAAAGGTCCGTCCTGACTACAAAATGTCTGTTGTATTTCAATACCTAATGTGCTTTTAGCGTTAAGTTAAAGTAGTACATTTATAATCATATTATTTTAACCCATTCACAGCAGCATATCAAAAAAAGCACCTTAAACCTAATGAATAACAAAATGTATAACATTCGAAAAATGTACTTGCATGTTTGTTTTCACGTCAATAAATTGTTTAAGTAAGCATAATTCTTGGCTTTTTACTTAATGATACAGGTACCTACCTAAGTAAATATCAGTAATCAGAACATTAAACTTCTCATAATTTTAAGTTGCGTTGATAATTAACCCACAAGGTTTGACCTGAATCCCTGAATCCCCAACAATCCTCAAATTCCTAATCTCCAAAAGGCCGGTAACGCACTTGTAAGGCCTCTGTGTTCCAGGTGTCCATGAGCGACGCCGATTGCTTACCATCGTGATCCGTCTGCTTGTTTACTAGCTTATCCTATAAAAAAAAACCGGCAGCCAACACAGATAATATTTTTAAAAGTGGGTACTCATTATCGAACTGTAACCATCACTGTTGCACTTGCATGTATGTATGGTCATTGTTATCACACCAAAAATCTAGGTGAGTGTCATGAGTGGTTCGAAAACCTGTTGCAAAAATTAATCGTACGGTGGGTAATCGCAGTGTGTGCACGTGTGAAGAGAGGATTGTTACGGCCCCTGCACAACGAACTACAACAATATAGCTCGCTAATAGAGAGATGTCAATGTTCGTTAATACCTAGTGTCCGGATCGGTATCCTTGAACACATCTTGAATATTAAAGTGTTATTTTTTTTCTTCAGGCCATTAGCTTTTTTATTTTTCTTTAAAAAAACGTTGCCTCACATTAGGATTTTCTCCTGTGTCGTGGGTGCGTTTACAAACATACAAATTCACCCAGACCCGAAACAACAATTTGTGGATCACACAAAGTGTTGTTCCGTGCGGGAATAGAACCCGCGACACGTTGCACGGCAGCTGGTTGCCCAGCCACCGCACCAAACGTGCAGTCAGCTGGCAGATATCTATGTGCATCTTGTCGATGGAACACGCTTGCCCATAAGCAACCTATTCACTCGGGCCTTGACACCCACTGCACCAGGGGGCCATCAGCGTAGACTATGCTGTGGCTGTGGCCACACAATCATACGGGGCCCTTTTGGAAGGCTTCGTTTTTGTAACGTTGCCCCACACTAGGATTTTTCCTGTATTGTGGGTGCATTTGCAAACATATTAGTTACATATACATCACACCCAGACCCGAAACAACAATTTGCGGATCACTTAAAGATTTGTTCCGTGCGAGAATCGAACCCGCTAAACGTTGCTTGCCGGCTGGTGTAGCGAATTTGTGTCGGTTCGGTCGTAGAAATTGTCGGTCATTCGGGGCCCTTCCAGTTGTTGCGATGATGATGAATTCATCATCATCATCAGCCTGTATTCGTCCACACGTCCTGGACATATGCCTCTCCTTTGGCACGCCACTGAGCTCGGTCTTCAGCTCTTCTCATCCAACCACTGCCAGCCACCTTGCGGATGTCGTCACTCCACCTAGCTGGAGGGCGCCCTACACTGCGTTTGCACAGACGCGGTCTCTACTCTAGAATACGTTTACCCCAACGGTTATCGGTTATCGATGATGAATTCGACCCCAATAAACTGAACATAAATTCTAATCTATCAATTGGCCCTAATTTATGTTTTTACTTTTTTTATGTATGTTTCCGTTGTTCAGTAAATTTTTAGTATCCATTTTTAGTAACTTGCCCTTCCTTGCCCTGGATAGATATTTTAATTTACTTTTACATCTGTTGTATTATTTGCTAGTTTTTGCTGTATGTGCCCAATATGAGTCTGTATATTAAGAGCAATTATTTTTTAATAACATTGGATGAGATAATTTTTTAGTTTATATTCCATAACAAAATTCGTAAATGTTTAGCTAATGTCAAAAGTGACGTGAAGAATGACATAATATTTTGTAGAGTTGTGCTACATGCCGATTCTTCCTATACATTTATTTTAATCGATTTGGCTTAACACAAATTTTATTTACTACTTACATTAATATTGTATTGGATCTGTTCAACTAACTAAAAATAAACATTATCTAGAATATTATTTAATTGCAATACCGGTAGCAACACCTATTTCTTTAAAAATTTAACAAATTGAATATTACTAATCGATTATAGTTACACTACCGTGGTTGAACATTTGGGGCGAACCCCTACAATATAATCTCAAAAATCGTTGCTGTGTATAGTCAAGAAAATAAACGACCCCTTTTTCGTGTAATATTCCACAAAATGAGTGACGTGGATAAGTGGATAGAGATCGCGAAGAGGTGTAAATATTTACCTGAAGATGACTTGCGGGAGCTTTGCAATATTGTTTGTGACTTGTTGTTGGAGGAGCCCAATGTACAACCGGTGCAGACACCTGTAACTGTCTGCGGTGATATACATGGCCAGGTAAAGTGAAATAACTTATCAAATTACGATACACTTGATGCATCTAGCTCAACCTGTTACATTACCTTCCTTTTACGATTATCTTAAAGAGGACTTAACCAATAGAAAAAAGTTTTGTTGCCTTAGTTATATACTTCAATCTGGTTATTACTAACAAGATTATAATGATCTATCACTACAGTGACTCTTCACATCTGATTAGATAACTGAATCTTATTACCTACTTATTTCTTTGTTTACATGCTAGTACCTAGTTGCACTTGTCAAATATCTTAAATAGTATCTAATAACTTTACATTTAAAAACATTTTGTGATAAAGCTATTTCTTAAAAATTCAGATAAGACAAACTGTAGTATTTGTATAAGAATATAAACTAAAAGTAATTTATAAATTCACAAAAATGTTTTAATTTAGGTAGATGTAATTACAACTGTATGAATCTATTGTTTCAGTTTTATGACCTCGAGGAATTATTTCACATAGGGGGCCAAGTGCCCAATACAAAATATATATTTATGGGCGACTATGTGGACCGCGGCTACTACAGCTTAGAAACACTCACACTACTTATGGCACTAAAGGCGAGGTATCCAGACAGGTAATAATGACTTTTGATTTTATATTAGACCATGATCTTGAATACTTTTTGACAAAGACAGTAAAGTACTTTAAGGATTGCCTAAAAAAATAATACTATGTTCTAAGTAGTTCTCAGTTCAAGGCACTTGTTCCCTGAAGACTTTGTTTATGTTAGATTGGTTATTGACCTTAGGTGTTTTCTTTCAGAATAATCTTACTTAGGGGTAATCATGAGACTTGTCAAATTACAAAGGTGTATGGCTTCTACGATGAGTGTCTCAACAAATATGGGAATGCTAATGCATGGAAGGATTGCTGTAGAGTGTTTGATTTGCTAACAGTGGCTGCTGTGAGTATTTTTGCACCTCTTAATGGCATAAATCACTTAACAACAATGACATAGAATCTTTTCTAAATTGTGTTTTAAATTAATTTGTTACAGCTAATAGACGAGACAGTTCTGTGTGTGCATGGAGGGCTGTCCCCAGAGATTTCCATGTTAGATCAAATTAGATGTATTGACAGAAATCAACAAATACCTCACAAAGGAGCTTTCTGTGATCTTCTGTGGTCAGATCCAGCTGATGTCAAGATGTGGTATGGAAGCATTTTAGTTACAAAGACATGTATAATAAGGTGTATTGAGATTGGGCAGAGAACTATAATTATTAACCTTAGTTAAATATAAATGACTGCTTTATTGGCGGAGTGGTCGCAAGTGCGATTGCCGGGTAAGGGGTCTCGGGTTCGATTTCCACGTCGGCCAAAGTATTACTGGTTTTTTTAAAAATTCACAGAAATAGCTCGGAGTCTGGAATTGTGCCCGGTATATGGCAATCGGTTACCCCCTATTACATGGGACTCATAACATAAATAGTAAATAGTGGGTGTTACATTGTATAGTGGCATAATGTCCACCTCTGCCTACCCCTTCGGGAATAAAAGGCGTGATGTTATGTTTAAAAATAAATGTGCCCACAGCGCGCGGCTACAAATCGAAAAAAAAATTATGTTCAGTAAATAAGGAAGAGCAATCACATTAAAAGAAAAAAAAATTAAGCATGTTCTCTGTCGCAGAAATACGACAAGAGCGGTAGATACAGGAAATATGTGTCATAGTTACTAAGGATAATATGAGACAGGCTTTAGTGGTTGTTAACTTGTTACAAAGATAATGTTCTTGTTTACAGGTCTGTGAGCCCAAGAGGTGCAGGATGGTTGTTTGGTAGTTATGTCACAGAGCTTTTTATGAATTACAACAATTTGAATTTAATCTGCAGAGCACATCAGCTAGTAAATGAAGGTTGGTGTTCAATTTATTATTTTGTCTTTTTCAAATCTTTAATTATATCCAAAGGGTTTTCCCTAGTAGAAAATGTAGTATGTAGTAGGTAAATATAAAGTCTTCTAATGCAAAATCTAACAAAACTATTGCTTCCAGGTTTCAAATACATGTTTGATAAACGTCTGGTGACAGTGTGGTCCGCGCCCAACTACTGTTATCGCTGCGGCAACGTCGCCTCCATATTAGAGTTCAATACAGTAAACGACAGAGTCCCTAAACTGTTCCAAGCAGTTCCTGATAGTGAAAGAGAAGTGCCGCCACAACATACTACGCCTTATTTCCTGTGAAATATCTTATAAGCATAAGTGAAAGTATTCCCCAAATGTAATGAAATGTTTTATATAATAAATTGTTGCATACAATTTACTTGAATTTGTTTTAATAGCCTTTTTTAAATGACTTTTATCTCAACCTGGGCTGCAAGCGATAATTTATTAGGTCGTACATGAAACGTAAATCAATGTATTTTCTTTATATAAGATTGTAAAAAAATATTAGTTTTTTTTTCTTTTAGCTCCGACCCCCGCCCGAACCCCTCGTCTATAGGCGCAAAATCTTATTATTACCATCTATATATATAAAAGAAAGTCGTGTTAGTTACACCACTTATAACTCAAGAATGGCAGAATAGATTTGGCTGAAAATTGGTAGGGAGGTAGCTTAGAACCAGGAGACCGACATAGGATACTTTTTAACCAATTTTTTTTTTTACTTTTTACCGAAAATCACGAACGGGGACGGGAAAAAATGGGATTACGCGTACGAAGTCGCGGGCAGAAGCTAGTTTAATATAAAAGGTGAAGAGTTTGTTTAATCTTTAATACGCGCTAACCTCAGGAACTAGTGGTCCGATTTGAAACAATATGTTTGTGTTGAATTACCTATTTATAAAGGAAGGCTATATAACACGCTTCCATCAATACAATCAATTGGGTAAGGTAGGTACTTGCCGACTAGTCGATTTCAATACTTTTTTCGGACTGTCAAAAACTTCAATTTTCTTTTAATTTTGCATACCTACTTATTTCTAAAAATATTGCTGGAAAAATACTAAAATTAAATTGGTCATAAAATCAATCAATGAAAGTGTGATTATTTATTAATATTTTGTTTTGAACAGTCGAAATAATTTATTTTTGATTAAGAAAAGTAACCAATTTGGGCCAATCAAAATGGTTGAGTAAAGCTGCTCCAGACTCGTAGGCATGAAACTGGGTTAACCGGACACTGCTTGCTTCAACAGATCAAAATTCACTCCTCCGTGCGACGAAGGTCCTTTTTGGCGTACTACGCATAACTAATTTTACAAACGAACTGTCTGTTTTTTTTATTTTGCTAGTCATCCTTGTTTTGCTGTATACGTAATATTAGTTTTCCATCGATACATAGTTAAACGTAGTTTCAGGTTTCTATTTGTGTCCATTGACATTCCAAACAATAAATTCCCCATTATGCACTGTACATTCTTGTAGGGGATTATGTGCCACAGCTTTAATCTCAAAGCATAGCCACTGATGAGCTAATAGTTGGTTGAAAAAAAAAAGATCAAAATAAAACAACAAATTGACCATTTATTACAAATTGGCTTTATTGACATTTACAATATTGTTTTAACTTTATTATAATACCTTCCTGCTTATATTAACTCAATCCCTGTTGTAATCAAAAGTATAGTCAAAGTAAGACTGATCGAAGCTCTGGACTCGCACGTAACCGTCCTCACCACCAGACGCGTAGCTCTTGCCATCAGGGTGGAATGCTAAACTGTTAATAGGACCGAAATGTCCCTTGATACGACCAAACTCTTCTTCAAATACCAAATGGAAGAATCTAGCGTCGAATTTACCCTGGCGGGTGGAGGTGGTGGTTACTTCCATAGCATCTTGACCTCCTCCAAGTACCACATGGTCTAGGATGGGGCTAAGGGCAGCAGAGTTGACAGGCCTCTCGGTTTTGTACTCCTTCAGGAGTTCCAAGGAGCTTGTGTCAAAGAGCTTGGCAGTCTGATCCTTGGAGGCTGTAATGAACATGGTGCCATCTCGTGACAGCTGCATGTCGTTAATCTGGTGCGTGTGCTCCTTAATTGAGTGTATCTTCTTGCCAGTCTAGAAATAATTAAAACTATTAGAAAACAAAATCAAAAATAACCAAACAACACAAAAGGTTTGGAAAGAATGAAATATTATCATCAAGTCTAGTAGAGGCTTTTATTCAGCAGTAGATATCCTCAGCTAATAATTATCTCTTTCTGTTTATAATAAGTAAACACAAGTTACTACCACCCACACTAGGATGTTCTCCTATGTTATAGGTGCATTTACCAATATACAGATTCAAGCAGCTGGTTACCCTGTTACTGTCCCAACCATGCTAATGTAATCATGGAACATGGAACACTGAAAACACTACTGCACCTTTGTTGATATACTCAACTCACCCTCAAATCCCACTGGATGATGTCTCCAGCTTCATGACCAGTGATGAGGGTCTCATCCAGGATACCCCACACCATGGATGTCACCTTGGAGTCTGTGATCTCCCACTTCAAGATAGGAGCTTGGCTGGAGATAGAGTCATCAACAGTTCTTGTGTCAATCACGAACACCTGAAAAGATGATATAGGTGTTATAAACAATGAGAAAACAACAGCTGAGTTGCCTCAACAATATTGACCCATTTAATGTATGACTCCCTGCAAATTTACTGCTGAGGATGGCCCATAAGACACTCGATGGATTAGAAACTTTGTAGTATAATTATACTACATCAATGTAGTTGTAGAATGTAGTACATTATTTATCATTGTTGATTTGAATAAATATTTGCTCTATTATTTTTCCTTAATGTTGTAGTAATACAAGTCTACAAAATAGCTCAAGTGCATTACTGCACATACAATACACATTATAATTAAATACTCATAATAATAAACAGTAAAAAGTAGTTATTTACCTCACAAGGGTGTCCCATAGCCTTATCAGTAGTGTATGCGGCCTGGTAGGCACTGTAGCTGAAGTTGCAAGTCCTCACAGAGGAGTTTGTCTTAATTGTAGCTATGTTTTTACCAGTCTCCAAGTCCCACAGTCTGTAAGCAAAATAATTACAAGTAAATCATCATAACTATAACGATGGTATAGTTTAATGAGAAAATATCCTTTTATGTGAAATTTACATGCCTTTAGCCTTATGAAGTGTGAATTCTATAATTATGAAAATGTCAGATAGGTCTTCAATGAGGTCCAACTAGGTTTTCATTGTATTATTAGGTGTCCAATATATAACCCATTAGTTAAGGTTTTTAAAGTAAACAAAAATTAAGATCTGCAATTATTGTATCACATTGTGCAATGAAAACATCAATCAAAGTTTTTCAAATATGTCATATCACTAATATTAGGTACTGACAAAATAAAATTTAAGGCATAGGTATTGGTAATAATCTATGTCTCATACACAAGTGTCTTAGGCCCGTATTAATAAACCGATATCAGCGTAAGAGTGAGATGTTAAGATCCTGTTTGATATTCCGACATATTAATAAACAAAACCTAATACGCGGTTTAAGACCTTGTCATCACCTGAGATCGTATTGTTTAATAAACATTACTCGGGTTTCAAGATCGGTATTAGGACGGTTATCAAGACCACGATTGTTAAGTTCAGTCGACCCTGGACTTAATATCGTGAACTCGTACCTAAGTATTTCGCGGGAACCATGAATATTGAGAATATTATTTCCGAAATCAATTATTATGATGAAGTCGACTAATACGATGATATTTTATGGCCTTTTCAAAATCTATTAAGTACCTACCTAAAGTTTATATAAGGGACGCGACAAATCCCTTCGAATTACCTACGCAAAACGGTTTCGATTTAATCAAGAATCAGTGCTGTTGATATCGTGTCGTTGATAAGTAATAATTTGGTAAAAAGTGATAACAGAGGGCTGCCAGTTGCACCAGAAATTGCAGTCTTGCATCCTTTCAGGTAAATTATTTTGATCAATTGAATCGTAAACATAGAAAAGTTAAATTTGTTATGTATGTTAAACGATTTATTAATAATGACAAAAGCTTTCAATTTGTGTGCAGGGATCTCATTTATTTATCTCAGCCTACAGTATCAAACGTCGTTAGAAAAGTATCACGACTGCTAGCATTACTCCATAAAACCTATATTAAAATATCTACAGGAGATCAAGCTAGCTTGAATAAGTATTTTTGACTCCATTATCGAATATTAATAAGTAACATAACATCACGCCTTTTATCCCCGAAGGGGTAAGCAGAGGTGCACATTATGCCACTGTACAATGTAACACCCACTTTTCACTATGCTATGAGTCCCATGTAATAGGGGGTGAGCCTATTGCCATATACGGGGCACAATTCCAGACTCCGTGCTACTACTGATAATTTTTAAAAACCCCAGCAGTACTTTGCCCGACCCGGGAATCGAACCCGAGACCCCTTGCCCGGCAGTCGCACTCGGCCAACGAGGCAGTCGATTAATAAGTAACTTGTAAATAAACACGAAATACTGATATGTATGATTGTATTATCAAGTACCTAATAAACAATTGAGAGAAAGAGACAGATATAATAATGAGGTGACGCGCAATCCCTGGTAGGTTTGTGCTTTTGTCACAAAATTAAACGTAACTTTATAATAAATAGTGCTTTTTTATGGTCAAACAAATCATAATGTATACAATATAAAAAAGTAATATAGTTTCCTAAAACTTCAATCAATTTAATCTGGAAAAAAACTTTTATTCCTATGCATACAGAGTTAAATATTATCGTTCTACAAAGCTATTACTAAACGGAATGAACGAAAGATGTAATAGTTCGTTCGCTGTGACGTAACAAGTCTCAACATCAGGATTTCATTGAGTGTCAAATTACGAATCTTGATAACCCGATCCAAACCGCGGTATCACCTGAGATCGTGTGGATATAGGTTTATTAATTAGCGTCGACATTAAGATGCTGATCGCATCTTGAGAACGTATCAACTGATGCCGGTCTTGATATCGTGATTGAGACTTATTTATTAATACGGGCCTTAGGTAAGGAAATTGGTAAAACATTTAAAATGAATACCATCACTATTGTTGTATTATCACATATCAATAAAGTTGTGACAAAATGTACCTAATAAAATATTATTTTGTATTAACTAGTCCTACAAAGCATAGTAAGGGAATACAAACCTGCATGAACTGTCACCTCCACCGGTGATCAGGTTTATGGTCTGCCAGTCTACATCTAGGCACCATACT